CCATACTGAAGCAACAATTCTGTCAGGATGTAGTAAAGGGGAAAATCGCAAGAACAACTTTGGTCTCAACTGATGTAACAATTCCATTCAAGAGATTGCAGAATCCAGGGAAACTAAGCTTTGCAAAATCCATAGATAAATCCCAAACACTGACCCTCGTCATTGTTAGCATGCACCTTGAATGACCATATTTTTTCTCATCACTACTTCATGTTGCATTTTCAAGAGTCGGAAGCAAAAATAATCTGTTTTCATTCCATCAGGAAAAACAAACATGACTTTGTTTGTAAAGCAGATCTTCCATGAAGAACAATTATGTTCCCTCTTGATTTTGCTGACCATTTGTTCTATTCTCATATTACAATCATTTAAAAAAATGAATTAGAATGGCTATGTTTACATACTTTACGAAATTAGATGAAAAATAAAAATTAGAAAATTTTATATGAATTTTTATATTTTCAGGTTTTTATGCTTTTGTTTGATTTTTCTTTTGCTTTCAGAATATTAAATTTAATTTTTGTGTTTAAACATTAAGATTGGAATACATCTTAAAGATTATTAGAATATTGTGTTTGAACTGCCATGCTAAGTGCTATGTTTTTTTTTTTTCTATTCTTGAAGACGTTTATAAAATGCTTACAATTATATGCAATAGGTAATTTCATGACGGTGCGTTTCTCATAGGCTTATACAGAATTTTCCCAAATACCAATAACAATATTTCTTTCTCTTCGTTTGTTTTTATTCCCTTATTCACGACGGCATTTAATAGATCTAACTAAATATTGACTTTGCTTTCCTTTTCCGGGGAAAGAGATTATATCTGATAGCTGCCTGAACGATTTCGTTACACAGATATTTAGGATGCATTCAATAAATCTAAGGTGCAGAGCTATCACACTTTTTCGGGATATATTTATACGTTTTACGAACTATTATCTGTTAATATTTTCAGCTTCCTGCAGAAAAAAATGAAAATGGATGTTATAGATTTTTGGGAAATTTTCTTAGCACGTACAAATGTATTACCATATTTTTTCATGACTGTCTTACAATCAGGTCTTCTGAAGAATGTATGTAATCCGGCGAAAGTTTTGGATATTGCGTCTTGTAATTGCAAAGTGTGTTTATGTTAAAAACATAATCTCTCAGTAATTTTGTGTCTAACCGTTTTTTCTATTGTGCGTTTTTGTATTCTTTGTTGTTGTTTCTTGTCAAAGACAATCCTTGTTAGTGGAATATTATTCATTAAAGAATTAATCCATTTTAACATATTCGAATTTTCTGACGAGATAACTTTTTAAATCAATTCCCGCCAACGACACTAAGAATAATGTGGCTAATGGAAGTAACAAAGGAAGAAAATCATAAAAGAAATTGGCGACCACATCCTAAACAGGAAACAAAAGATAAACCTCTGCCGCTGTTGAAAAGACAGGTGAACAGTCTAAGACGGACGATAGGTGACCATATCTACACTTATTCGTGAATCTACTCCTAATCTCGCAAGTGATTTCCACTAAAGCGGTTCCTAAAGTATATATGGTCACTCTAACATATTTTACTATATTTTCATATTCTGTAACTGTTATGGTGGAACACAACTATTCTATAGCTAATATACTCTCCAACCTATAATAAGTAGGCGTAGTAAGAGTAACGAGGGAGTCAGTCAGTCGGTCAGTCGGTCAGTCGATGTCGGACGACTGTTAGTCGAATACGAAAATATCTGCAACCACAACTAGATTACTCTGCGTAATACCTATTATATCAAGTTCCTAACGTTTTGTACGTCGAACCTATTTTAGGACCGATTTACTACAAATACAAACCTCCACTGTGAAATCACTCCACAACAGTAACAGATGAATCTATACGAAAATAATGCAATATTATTTTCACATTTCATAAAGAATGTTATTTCTATATATATTGTCAAGTGTTGGTGATATTTATATTTAGCGGCGATAAAGACGATCTTTTAGTATTCAGTAAACAGCGTGCCTTAGAAAATGGCGATACACATTAAAAAAAAATAAGTTCATTTATTTCTTAGATGCTTCGCCATGTTTCTGAGTCTTATGCTGACGGAGAATCATTTAATTATTCAAGGAAATCCCCAGATGAGGACGGATGTTGAGAAAGCAAATATTCTTCTGAAGCCATAGTTGATATATTTCCCTGATATAAGTAGCTCAAGATAGCAATATTATATAGAATTTCTGAAAGATTTTCTCACCAGAGGCAAGGAAAACTAGAGGACGATTCTAATCATCAATACTTATGAGATTCACTAAATGTTATTCTTTGAAGATATGTTTTTTTTTAATAATATTAATAGACTCGTATTTTAAAATTGCTATAACGTAACACGGACATTAAACTGCAAAATAATCAGAAAAGATCCAATCCTACTTATTTCAACAAACCAGTACTTCTATTTCCACACATAATAACACTGGCTACGGCACTTCGACATGATGCAATAGTTAACAAGCTTATCTCGCTAGAACAATTACAAAAATGAAATGAAATTTGATCAGTTTAAATGCATCTAAACATAAAAATAATGTTCAGCTCCATTAGACATTATAAAATACTTTTTTAAATTTCGTTCATTTTAACAAAAAGTTAAAATTCGGACAGAATTTATGGGATGACCTGATAGAAAACTCTACCCCCGTGAACTAAAAGCAGGTTGGGTTCGAAATTTCAACGTATATTACATGAAGGTAGCCGGAGTGAACAACGGCCGAAAGATTGTGAATATGACAATAAAGATGAAAAAAGCAAACAATGTAAATAGTTACAACAACTCATCACAGAAATATAGATAGATAATAAAGCCAGTTTTTAAAGGTTAATGCAAGACATGATTCAATATTTTTCTTCATATTATTTTGATAACACTGTCTTTATTACAGTTAATACAGCATTTCGTGTGTTCCTTCCGGAGTCAGACATTTCCTAAATGAAAATTTATCAAGCAATTGGATTAGAAGTGGTGGACTGATTTATCGGCATTAATGGACGTCATTCGATTTCCATTGAGAATCAGGGAAAATTGTTATATAAGATCACTTATATAATAGTAAATGTTGAGCAAATTCCTCAGAGATGCACAGGAGATTTAAATGTAGTCCTACAGAGGAATACTGATAATACTATGACGAAGACTGTGAATAATGAGGGGATCTTACCGAAAATAGTAAAAATAAACATTTATAATTAAATCAGAAAGAGAGTGTTGATATCTCTAAGACATATGATGAGGAAAGAAGGCTTGGAAAATATGACACTCATAGAATATATTGAAGGCAAGAAGTTAGAGAGAAACAGCAAGTAATCTAACCAGATTGTGTAAATAGATGGCAGAACAGAACATTAATAATAAAAAGAAGATAAATATTCCAAAGAACTACAAACTGTAGGAAGTAAACATGGTTACCCTCAACTTCCTCAAGGTCTGAAGGGGCATGACATAGAATATAAATGACAGTGAACATGACGTAGATGAACATTCCCGTGAGTGTATTTATTAACACACATTTAAATAGTTTTATACTGATTGATTATCTTTTGTGATGAAAATGAGGCTAATTTAAAATTGCCTATCAATAAAAAAAACATGAAATGTCATATTTGTCCCTCTTACTTCTACGGCTACAATGCTTTATAACTACACTTGTAATCACATGTTTATTTTTAGAATTAAAATTTTTATATATTATCTCCGTTCTACCAAGTAGCTGAATATTAGTTATAAAATTTAAGGGAATTAATTTCATTAAAATGTTTCGTTATTTCCATTGTAAATTAGCGACATGCAGAACAGTGGTCTTGCTCGGAGTACGTAAAAAATGTCGATTATATGTATTCTTCTATACAGGATAAGGATTATCTTTAGTGTGTTTTAAAAAACTGCCAATAATTTGAAAACGTTTTCGTGATCATCTCCAGAATCATTTATAGTGTTCCAGATGATTCCAAAAAGTCACAAGTCGACAACATATATTAGACAAGTTTAGTGAGAGATCAAATATCGACAGGACTTCGAAGAGAAGTGATTCCCCACGTACTCTCTCTCCCTCTCATATATATATATATATATATATATATATATATATATATATATATATATATGCGAGGATAAGCAAGAGGTAACATATTTGACTGAGGTCAAATCAATCGGTTTAACATCACGGCTTGAAGCAATCGGACGCCTACTTATATATATATACTTCTTACAATTGGAATTAAGATACCATTAGTTAATGACTATTATGACTTATGAATTTTAAAATTAGCAGGATTTCAAACTGTTTATGGTGTCAGTTTGTAGAAGGGAACCTATAAACAGTTTGAAAATCTTAAATCTTGCGTATCTTAAATTTTAAAATTCGTAGGTGAAAATAGTCATTAACTAATGGTGTCTTAATTCCAATTGTAAGATAAATTTGGCTCTGTTTAATGAAAATAAAGTGAAATAGATTGTGTGCTCTTTGTGAGTCAGTTTTTAATATTTCAAAATCTATATTGTGTTAATAGGACTCGCTTGGATTATGCCAACGGATTACTATATATATATATATATATGTATATATATATATATATATATATGTTAAAAATTTATCTTTCTATACTACTACTGTACTGTACTGATGCGGCATTCACCTGGGCGGATTGAGCCGGCTTCTTCCTGTTATGAGAAGAAGATTCTTGGGATAAATTACAGAAGTAGGGTACCCAGGCCTACTCGGATAACGTTCTTGCTTGCCGCGGGATTTCCACAGACGCAGAGACAGGAACGACCAGAAGCCGCCGGTTACCGATGCAGACGCTCCTTGGATTTTCACCAGAGCCCTTGTTAGCCGGCGTGTGTGTCAGACCTGTCCGCCTTGGGTGGCCCTACCAGGAACGAAGTTCCGGGCGGCATAGCTCTGACACTACCGTTTACACCCCCCACCGACTGTGAGGTAAGGGTTGGACTTTGGAGGCTTACAGTACCAGGTGTTCCCAAGCGGTCCCCCATCTAAGTACTGACCTGGCTCTACGATGCTTAACTTCGGTGATCGAACGAGAACCGGTGTTTTCAGCGTGATTTCAGCGTGATTTCTATAGAGTACCAATGGATACTTGCTTACTGCAGGGAGAGAATAGTGTTTAAAGTTAAAAATACATAAAACAAAAAGAAAAATAAGTATGAATATCGGTGAGTTTTTCTAAGCTTTTGATCAAATGTAGAGTAATTGTAAAATTAGAAGAATAAAGAGAAAGAAATTAACATTATTAAGTTGTTATATATATGCTTTAAAAATCAGGAGTTCAGTTGAATCTCCTATATTAGTTTCAACCTTACAGTTTCCTCACAAGTTTTATACAAAATGATCGCTTTATTTTTTTTAAATAATGAAATCAACATATTTTTTTGAAATCGAAATAAACGCATGAAACAAGAAGAAGAAAAGAAGGAGTATTACAAATGTATCGGTGGCGGGGGGTCATTGAAATGTACAACTTTTTTTTATCCAGCCTCATCTGTGCATAATAGGAAGTACCTAATATTTAACCAAGGAGTGAAGACTTCTGTTTCAAACGCTTCTTTGAATCCGGACATGTTATAATTGCTAAACTTTCCTTTCGGTAGGGGTTGCAAATAAGGTTGTGGTTGTTATAAGTCTTCTTAAGAACATATGAAGCTGAATATATATATATATATATATATATATATATATATATATATATATATATATATATATATATAATGGCCATAAATACTAAAGAAGCATTAATACTAAACAAAAGCAACTTCTTCCCATATTTTAAATTCTCTGGTGACTTCATTAAACCAAAATCACTAGCTAAATTCAAATAAAAGTTAAGCGATTCTTGTTCCGAAAGAAAACTGACAGTCACTCTGCAATGTTTAATGGTATGCGTATATCCGTGTATTCCTTATCTTTAAATGCTTTATGTTCGATATTGAGCTCACACTACATTTGTGCGCGCGCGCACACACACACACACACACACACACACACACACACACACACACACACACACACACACACACACACACACACACAAACACACGCACACACACACAGATATATATTTATCAGTCAATGTCTGAAGATGATTAATGCACGGTCGAATGTTCTTGAGTATGTAAAGAAGACCTAACAGAGGTTATAAAAAAAAATAAGAAACAGAGCATTTATCGAGTGATTTGTAGGTTAATGCATCTTTAAAATTTTGTTAGCGAAGGGATTTCGCCATTTTATATAATTAACTCTACTAATTTATTTTTATATGGATGATTTATTGAATAATATATATATATATATATATATATATATATATATATATATATATATATATATATATATATAAAGAAACAGACAAATTTAAAGGGGTCCTGGTTTATAATTTATTTCCTTCTCAGCGGGACTTTAGGCCTAATTCATCAGATCTACATTTTCTATAAACCTTAAAGTTGTCTGTTTCTTAATTTTTCTTAGCAAATTATTAGCCACAATTGCTGTATTTATAGCAATAAATCTCGTGCTTATATGTCTCAGGTTCTTGTAAGTTGATATCTGCCCAGTTTTATATCCGAATGTAAACAAATCAATTTCTGAAGGATTTTTTTTCAAAATTATTAATCAGACAGATTTTATTACTATAAACGTTATTTTAGTGGATACAAATGTGACACCATTTACCAAGGCAGAAAAAGAAAAGAAAGGAAAAGAGAGGCGAAGACCCAAAGCGTGGATGATAAGCAGAACGCCCACGGCTAAGAGACAATGGATAAAGGATATTTTGATAAATAACAAATGGCGAAGAGTGTCATTACAATGAAAAAAAAATTCTGAGTGGATAAAAGAATCGGGTGTGTTCTGACGACGGGCTGTATTATTGGGATACATAAACAAACCACTAATGCGGGAAGGCATCTGATTGGCAAACCACAGACCGACTAGCCAAAGAAAAATCCAAATGAAAATGTTATTTTGATAAGTGACGGAAAACAGGTGGACTACAGGGCTTTGGATAGATATGAAAAATTAATTGTGTCAAAAGCCGCAAACGAGGTGGCTACTGACCGATTTCTTTCGACAAAACATCTTTAGCCTGCGATAATAAAACTGTGTTATCAGAAATGTGTACCAAAAAATGAATGGGAACCAAGAAATATTTCCTTTCGAGGCGACGGTCTGGCCGTGTTAAAAAGTCCACCCATTCTGATAATTAGCGATAAGATGACTGACGAAGCCCAGGTGAGAACAAGTGTTATGACCACCATCGATCGTATTGTTCTGTTTGCGGCTAGAGAAAATGATAACTGCGATTAAAAGAAAGAAATGGAAAAGAAAAGGATAATTTTTTTTGTTAAGCAAGATATTTTTTTTTTCCTGAAACAAAGCCGCGGGATCGTACACGCCCGACTAGACATCATTGGTCGAGTGGTGATCACGTGACGCACGGAGGAGGCTGTCACCGCCCATTGGTATGAGAGGTTGCTACGAAGAAGTGGGGAGGGCAGTTCACGCCCCTCTGAAGTATGGTGAGAAGGTGGGAGCAAGAGAAGGCTCCCAAAAATGGAAAAAAAAAAGTGGAAAATTCCTAGCCAGAAATAAAAAAGGTGGATAGGTATTTAGAATTATCGAGGAACCCCCGTCGCCGACAAACCCACCCCGGTTTTGGTCGGCGTCCAGATAAGCAAGGCCGCAGTGAGCAGAAATCAGTTCGGTTCGAGTTGAGTTCGAGTTAGAGTTTCAGTTCCAGTTCCAGCAGAGAGCTCGAAGTTCGCAGTGGAAGAGTGACTTAGATCCAGACCACCAAAATAAGTTTTTTTTTTCGACTTTCGCCCGAAGACACACCGAAAAACCCATTTCTTAAAGAGCAAACAACTTGAAGCGTTAAAACTCGCCTAACGGAAAACAACGTGTCACAATCCATAGAACGGGTCGGGAAATAGACGCAGTCCTATGTATCCAACAACTAGACATAAAGTTTGTTATCCTGTTTTTGATACCTTGAATTTTTGAGTTATCATTTTCTTTTCTTTTACGCATATTGGTGCGGTGTCCCCCCGTTTGAACCCGATTTGCATTACGGCCCCAACTACTGATTGATCTCGTCTGCCTAAAATCAATTCACAACGTGGGTAGGCAGACTGGAGATCAGTGCATTTACTTTGGTAACCAGGCGTTGGAAGCGAGTTGGGAACGACGAGGCTGATATCGAATCTAACCAGATTCCCATCCGAATCACAAAAAGGTTAGAACGTCACATTTGGGTGCCGCGACCGATACCAAGCCAGTTGGTCGTCACAGGACGAGACAACACGACTGACGCGACAGGCGGACGTCACGTTTGGAGCGGCGACACCCAAACGTAGCAGCGAGGAGCGAGCGAAGGCTGCGTTAAGGACGTCGCAGCTGACGCCGCGACCAAAGGACGTCACACAAATATTTAAAAATTATCTATTCAAGTATGGATATTCACTAAAGTAACGATTAAAGTGATACATTACTCATAGAAGAAACATGACCATTATAATTGCAAAATAACTGAAACACAAACTTTATTCTTTAACGATACAGGCTATGCATTTTATGTAGTTTTAAAATTTCACTGATTCCAACTGTAGAATATTTTGTGATATAAAACCATAGAAATAATTGCATAGATAAAAATCTTACATTATTCATTTAAAAAAAAGATAACCACGCACTGGTGAAATTAATTAGATATTATTGTCATTTAACATCATTCGGGTTATCTAAATTAAATAGTGATTATGAAATCAGTGATAATTAAATAATACTAATTTTATATTTGTATTAATCGTATTGAATAAATAAACAAATTTTCTAATATAATTTATTTATTTTTGAATGATGGCAGCAAAGCTGATACGTTGCCCACCTTAAATCTGTTTCACACTCGAAAAATATCACCGCTAATTGGAACATTAAAGTTTACCGTTTATATTGTACAATGTTTGCCGGTTATTATGTACAATATTATTGGTTATTTGGAATGTTTTACGATGCTATCCATTTTAAACTAACTTGATTTTTTTTACAGTGATGGTTAGTCTGTGCACCGCCTGGGACACACTAGATGCAGCTCTTACCGATATGATGGGGAAGATAAACGGTTAAGCCAAGACGAACAGTTTGAGATAGGAGTCGGTCCCTCAAAGGGGCGAGTTGTTGAAGAAGTAGCTCGAGTGGAACTTGAATATCACCAATATGTGCGTAGTAGATTGTTATTAGCCGTGAAAGTTAGAACTGATTTCCTTTTCTAACGTCCGTGGCATTCGAATCAACTTCTGCAGTTTGGAATCGTTTCTCATTGAAAAGTCTCCCAATATACTGGCTATCTGTGAGAATCTAACTTCGAATCGTCTATCACCTCCTCTGAACACTCGATCCCCGATTACCTTCCTCTCCTTAGAAAAGACTCTCATACTCACATGCACGGTCCTGGAATTTACGGAAAATACCATCTCCAACTGGTTAGAGAGCTGTCTCTCTTGAATTTCCAGCCCACTCATACTTGTATCTCTGTCTATATCTCCTCAATGCTGTAAGCTACCTCTTCTTTCTCTATCATTCTCAATCCTCCCAAGACTGTGGTGGACTCAAAAGCATTTCGGACAATATAGACGAGGCTATCTCTCTCCAGCCGTTTGCTCATAGAATCTATCGCTGACAAAACTAACATGACCATTAGTCTCGAAAAGAACCTCCAATCGGTTGTAGACTAGGGCAGGAATTGGATGGTTAACTGCTCTCTATTACTCACCACGGGGAGTCATCTCTGTCACCCATTAGAATGTCAGATGCTTAATTTCATGAGGGTACCTATTTGCGACTGTTTGGTCTCACACTGTCCGTTCACCTGAGATGGAACAATTACATTGAATCAATTGCTTCGTCCACCGCAAGGAAAGTGTCGCACCAGAAGGTTTTTTCTCGCCTGATTCCATCCTTCAAATCTATAAATCAACCATTCGCCCATGCATGGAATACTACTGCCATATATGGTCCGGTGCCCCCGTTGTTCGCTTTAAAGTCCTGGACAAAATCCCG